CCACAAATGCAAATAGACTTTGGGAATTCCATCTGTCGTTCGGCAAGTTGACGAGCGGTAAGAACGGCATGGTGGCGCAGCAGCAACAGCAGGGGAATCCCACCAGCCCTTTAGGGCGTCGGTGGTTTAACGAGTTTCTTTTTCCACCCCTCCTTCTTCCCCTTCGGGGAGGGGTTTACCCCTCCCCCTACCCCCTCCCCGCTGACCTGGACAGGGGGGGCCGCGATCGGTCAGAGCGTCCAAGATCGACCCCTGGGAGGGCTAAAATTCGACACCCCTCACGAGGATCGTGGCTCCTGAGGGGGGGGCTGAAATTTAGGAACCCCCCTTCGTTGATCGATCTCCTCCAAGATGGCTCTAAGAGACGTCTTGGACCCCCTCTTGGGCCCTGCGCGCGGGCGGGCGTAGCGCCGCCCGCCCGCCCGCAAGGCCCAAGAGCCCACCAAAACGTTCGAAGATACCTCCAAGACGCCACCAGGGAGGAGGAAGAGGCGGAGGAGGAGGAGGATAGGGGGAAGAGGAAGCGGAGGAGAAGGAGGAAGAGGGGGAGGGGCACAGCTGCCGATCATCGGCGCTCTTCGTTCGAGTGCCTGGTGTAAGATGGGCTGGTGGGGATACGCGAAGCGTCAAGAATTGGACGGAAAAGGGGAAAGAAGACGAGCTGCTAGACAAAGCATTCGAGCTGAAGGAATCACTCCTGATACCATCATAAGAACAGACTCCTTCTCGATTTCGAAGATTACAAACTGGAAAACGCAATTCCTAACGAGACGCGTTTTCCGCAATCACAAGCATGGCAACCTTTGAACTCTTCAAAGGGGCGCCTGAGGGCCACTGTCGCCGCCTTGAGCAGCGCGTCTGCATGGGCATCCAGTCCAAACTCAGGAAGCGCAGGAAGCTCAAGGTTCACGTGAATGTTATGAGACATCGCGGGGCGTGAGGTGGGCAACGCGAACGGGATCCTCCAAGCTGCGCAGCACGTAAATGTCGCCACCCAACCGTTGGAGCCGACCTGGTAGTCATTGGAGCGCAAGAGGGTTTCCAACTTGTTCCTCATCTTGCCCATAGCCAGACCAAGCCGGCCGCCTGCTGCGAAGGGCCAGGTCACGACGGGGTTTGGAAGAAATTGCGCCACCACGAAGGTCTGGGAAGGCAGTGTTGACGTCGAAATTGCTCAGGAAATCACTTCCATGTGAGGCGACCCCAAACTCGAAGATCGCTTTGCGATTCATCTCGAAGGCCTTGATCACGCACTGGGCGTTGTAGGCAAGTGGCACTGGCTGAAGACGAACTTGTTCAGCGGCGCGGCGCAATGTACTGGCCATCATCGGCCTCGGGAAGCCAAATGGCACCAGCCTGCATGCGCCCTCTCGTTGAGAGCCCGAACGCGAGGAAGACAATCTCGTAGAGCCCAACGGTGCCGCAGAGCGAGACGAGGTGGGAGTGAGTACGCTCTGACGACGCTGGGGGGTCTCGTCCATAGTGCTGAACTCCGAGGTGAGCACATCGAGAGAATCCTTGATATGGTCAGCAGTGGTCTCGAGCTTGTTGATGTACTGAGCCCGCTCCGACGCAAAAGCCGCCTCCTCCACGGCATTGTCGGCACCTTTCTGCATGACCTCCATCCGCGCCTCCAAGATGTCGAGACGGAAGGCAACAGCGCTGATGTCAGAGCCCACTTGCTCGAAACTGTTGTTGCCTGCGAGCTGCATTTCGTTCATCCTCGAGTTCATGGTGTTCATGCCAGACGTGAGCTGCTGAACCCACGATGGCGGTGCCTCCTCCGAAGCCATGGCTGCTGGCTGCCGGGGGGACAGGGGCGCGAGGAAGCTTGCCTGCCGAGCGAGAAAGAGGCGGGGTGCTGCACCCGCCGAGCTGCTTGAGCAAAAACTGGTACGGATGATGCTGATGATGCGGTTCTGCTGAGAATGCGAATGCGAATAACACGAATAATGATACAAATAATAATAATAATAATAATAATACCAAAAAAGAGCTAACAAACGAATCCGAATCGTAGTAATACTAGCAATAGAGCGAACCATCCTAGTAACATCCATATTGATAATAATGATAATGATATCAATGGTAAAGGTAATGGTAATGCTGATAATGCGACCATGGATAGCAACAAGAACACTATAAAAAGAATAATAGTAATCGTGGTAGTCATACAGGTAATAGCAGAAACAATAACAATTTCGATGATAAGAAAAATAAGAATGATGATGGTGATGCTGATGATGATTGTGATGGTGAAGGTGATGGTGATGACGATAACGATGACAATGATGATGCTGCTGATGATGACGGTGATGATGATTGCAATGATGATGATGAGGAGGAGGATGATGGTGAACAGGAAGTGAGAGAGGGCACACACACGCACATACACACACACACACACGCACACGCACACATACACACACATACACACACTCACACACACACACACGCACACACAAACACACACACGCACACACACACACATACACACACACACACACACGCGCGCGCACACACACACACACTGACACACACACACACACACACACACACACACACGCACACACGCACACACACACACAAACGCACACCTTCGCGAAGCCCGCCCGACGAGAGGCCGAAGCCAAACACTAACGGACAAGATTCGCGAGATAGAACATGGGGATCTCCGACATCCGTCTATGATCCCCCATTCAGAAAGGAAAAATAGGACAGGACAGGCCGCACCAACAACCGCACTTCCGGGGATGCCGCGACGAGGCGCAGACCCACAGCAGTTTTACAGCGCCGCCAAGCCGCAGCGCGACCCTACGTACGCAGCTGGCTGCGAATCTGGAAGGCCGACTCACTCCCACATCGGAATAATGCTACGGGACCCCCCACCGCCGGATCCTTCCCGCATCGGAGTGCTGGCACGGGGCCCCGCCAGCCGGATCCTTCCCGCATCGGCATGCTGCTGCGGGACCCCGCCCGTCGAATCCTTCCCACGTCGGAGCGCTGGTAAGGGACCCCGCCTCGGGAGACCAGAAGTCGGGACCTCGGAGACGGCCTCCCCGATCCGAGACGGAGAGGCCCTCCCCGAGCTGCCCCGCAGGAGGATGCCGCCGAGGGAGCCTTCGCCAAGGACTCCTTGTGTCTCTGGCAGAGCTTGCAGCCCTCCCTGGGCTTCTCGTGGAGGTGGCACCGCGCCTTCTCGCCCTCGCGGGGGGCAGGAGTAGAGGGGAGGGGAGGGGGAGGGGGTGGGGTAGCGTTTGGGGGGGGAGAGAAGGTAGGATTAGGTCGGGCACGTCCCCCTACAGGGGGATCTTGGACGAAAAATTAAAAATCGTCCAAAACTACCCCCAAATGGTCAAAGAATTTTCCAAAAAATAGTCCCCAGACTTTTTTATTACTCTTTTTGAATATTCCTCCTGTAGAGGGACAGGCCCGACTCAAAGGTAGGAGGAGAGGAGGGAGGAGAGGAAGAAGGGAGAGGGCGGGAGGAGATGCTGCACGCCCTGCGCTGCTCGAGGCCACAGGGCCCTCTCTCGCTGCGCGAGAGATCCTGGCACCCGACGGCGCCGGGGCGCAACAACAGCCCTGCAACCCCCCCCCCCCTCGTCCGGGCCCTCTCGTAAGACGAGAGGTGGGTGCGCCTCGATATCGTGTAGCCATTTTAGGCGAGAACCTCGAGCTCTCCCCCTGTGCTTGGAGATCGTCGTTGATTACGATTGAGGAGGAGGAGGAGGAGGAGGAGGAGGAGGAGGAGGAGGAGGAGGAGGAGGAGAAGGGCGAAAGCCCAGGATGTCCGGTGAGGAGGGGGAGGTGACGGCCGATACCCTAACCTTTTCGCTCTGGGCAGCCTCACGTGTGCCCGCGCGCATCAGCACTGCGTGCACCTTTCGGACCTGCGGAACCGAAAAAGGTCAGGTTATCCGAATATCGCTGAACCGTAAAAAAAAACATGCAGCGCTCCGAGGAGTGCCATGGAACGCTCTGGAACGATCGCCGCACTTCCTCTCCGCAGCACCACCGTTATCTTGTACCTTCGGGTGACCTTCTATCTGCGTCGAATCCGTGCCGAATCCATGTCGGACTCGTGGAATCCGCGTCGAATTGACGTCGAATCCACGTCGAGTCCACGCCAAATCCGCGTCGAGTTCGTATCGAGCCCGCGTCGGGCACAGGAAAAAGCACCGATTTCGAGGACAGGAGAGGTCCCCCGCAGATGCAACGCAACCTCCCCTCCGCAGCCGTCTGCCTCGAGGGCCTCACGGAAGGCCGAGCACGCAGCAACACATTGCATGTGGCGGATTCCCGAAACCCTGAACCCAAAAATGTTTTTTCCGCGAAGCATCGACCAACGATCACCACACGATGTCTCCAGACTGGATGCCGGATGCCAAATTCACCCAACTACGCGCTACCCGCCAGGCCCGAGACAAAGACCCTGGACTGGGGCAATGAAGCAAATGCATGTCACGGAATCGGTGCACGGAAATCCCGCTGGTCTGGAGCCAGCCATCGAAGGAGGGGGAGGAGGAGGAGGAGGAGGAGGAGGAGGAGGAGGAGGAGGAGGAGGAGGAGGAGGAGGCGGAGGAGGAGGAGGAGGAGGGGAGGGGGAGGCGGAGGAGGAGGAGGAGGAGGAGGAGGAGGAGGAGGAGGAGGAGGAGGAGAGGAGGAGGAGGAGGAGGAGGAGGAGAGTGAGGAGGAGCAGGAGGAGGAAGAGAGGGAGGACGACGACCCTGAACCCAAAAGTGCTGCCATCTCTTTGGAGGCGCATCTTTCACTTCCGCCGGCGGTTCCGCCGAAGCTCCCACTGGCGGAGCCGCCCCCCGCTTTACTTCCGCCGCCCTTCCGCCGAGGAAGAGAAATCCACCCCTTCGGCCCTCGGAGGCGAGGCCCTTTTTGGAATGCCTCGATTGTTGCAAGCTTTTGCAAACAATGGGCGATAATTACAGCGAGAGCCTAATTTTTTAAACCGCCGAGGACAAGATATCAACTCCTGTGACCCTCGGAGGCGAGACCCTTCTTGGAATGCCACAAAAGCCTTCGGGGCCTGGGCGTCTACGGGACATCCCTTTTCTGCTCGGCGGCGTCCGACGTTCAGTCTCGCGGTCGGGGCTGCAGCCGGGGCTGACGCCGGCGCCAACGACGACGACGGCGACGACGATGACGGCGACGACGACGACGACGACGACGACGACGACGCCAACGCCGACGCCGACGCCGACGCTGACGCCGACGCTAACGCCGACGACGACGCCGACGCCGACGCCGACGCCGACGCCGACGCCGACGCCGACGACGACGACTACGACGACGACTACAACGACGACGACGCCTCGTGTGTCCAGGGGCTCCGTTCGCCCCGTGCGATCGACGAGGCCCCCCGGGCACTGGCGCGTGAAGCCCACCCCCAGGCCTCCCTCCCTCCGCCCGAGGCCGCCTCCCCTCGCCTTCCCCCCGATGCTACGATTCGCCGTCGTCGTCGACGACGTCGTCGTCGTCGTCGGCGGCGGCGGCGTCGTCGGCATCATCGTTGGCGTCGTCGTGGTTTCGAAGATGGATGTTCAAACGTTGAATATCCGCTGTGTTTATGGACCCTGACGTCACGATCTGCGCGAGGGGTGCGACCGATATTCGGAAGCTTGAGGATGTCCCGAACGACAAACCAGAAAACATGCGAGCGGGAGCGGACGACTTAAATCAATCGCCTCTGCGCTCTTCTCCCTCGGAGAGGTGCGTATGATAATATACATACACATAACCAATCCCTTCGCCCCCCAATCTAGTCCTGCTCGTCCTTCCCTTCCATCGTCTCCCCCCCTCTCATCATCGCGTCATCCCTCTGCCTCCGCCTTCTCTCCGTCTGCACCTTCTCCTCCTCATCCTCCTCTTCTTGTTTTGTTTATTCTTCTTAGTAATATAAGTAGTACGATTATCATTGTTATTACTATAACTCTTATGCTTAGTATTAGTATTCGTCTTATTTTTCCTCCTCCTCCTCCACCTCCTCTTGCTCCCCCTCCTCCGCCACTGCCTCCCTCCACCCTCATTCCTCCGCCTCCCTCCTCCTTTTGCTGCTCCTCCTCCACCGCCCTGAAGCGACGACGAAGACGACGACGACGTCGACGACGACGAAGAAGAAGACGCCGACGAAGACGATGGCGACGCGCGGGCGCGCGCGGCCGAAGAGGCAGCCACGCCTCGGGGCAGCCAGGATTTGGCACCGCCACCAAGTCGCCCTGGCCCTGGCCACCGGGCGAGGGCGACGATGACGAGAGCGACGAGGAGGCGGAGGAGGAGGAGGAGGCGGAGGAGGAGGACCAGGAGGAGGAGGAAGGAGGGGGAGGAGGAGGAGGAGGAGGAGAAAGAAGGAGGAGGAGGAGGAAGAGGAGGACAGGAGGGGGATGAAGGGCAGGAGGGGGAGCACGACGACGATGCGGAGAGTGGTTTCCGTCTGGGGGGAGGGCGGAGAGGGGTGCGACGGAGAGGAGTGACTACCTACCAGACCGCCCCAACCTAAGCCGAAGATCCCAACTTCGGGTTTTGGGGGGTACGGGCTTCACGCGTGTGTTCGTTCAATGTTCCCCGATCCCCCCCCCCACGGGAAATAGACGGCAGACCCGGGCCTTCGGGTTGGGTCGGGGTGGTCTGGTGGGCGGTGAAGGCGGGGTGGAGGGGTGGCGGGGTGGAGGAGGAGCGCACGTGGCTGCATCAGCAACGTGCTCATCGCTGGTGCCAACGACGCTCGGGGGACGACGCCATGAATGCCAGGGAGTTCCTTTCGGACATCAGGAGGTCGTTAGCGCGGCGCGGCGCGCGCATCGCTGGTAGCGAGTTCGGATCGCCAAGCGCGGCCAAAAAGTTGCCCCAACTGATCGGATGGTTCGTGGCACCCGTCGTTGGTGACAGAGTGGGTCTCCACAGAGGTCAAGGAGGAACCATCAGCGAAGTAGTCGTCCAGCGTCGCGCTCTGGACGTCCCTCGCGTGCCCCGGATGGGCGACCCCATCTACGTATCACCTCCTCTGTCTCCGCGCCGTGATGCAATTAGGCAAAAAAAAATCTCCATCAGGGGGGGGCGCTGAGGTGGCCGATGCCGGGAAGGATAGACATATCCACAATCTCCTGCAAGCCTGCTAATCCTTGCCGAAACGGAAAAAAAGGTTGTGCAAGTGCTGGTTCGCGACAAAGTGCAACTTATGGGACTCGGCTAGCTGCAAGATGTTGGAGACCACTCGTAGGTCTGCGCCCCAGCAGCGGATTCAGTCTGTAGGCAGATGTCCCGAGTACCTGTCCGCACATGGAGGCCCTCCAGCTGATTCACCACCACCTGCTGCGTGAAGGCATCGAGCCGCTTCTGCGCCCAACTAATCGTCGTCGTCGCGTGATTCGCGCTGAGCTCCGCCGTGGGGCGGTAGATGTCGTCGTATCTTTGCGCCGCCGCTGAGGGGGAGGCCCGAGAACGCCAGGATGAGGGAGAGTAGGAGACCCGCGACGCCGTGATTTGTTCACAACGTCGACCCCCAGGAGGTTTCAACCCGTTCCCTGGGACCAATTTTTCGTTCCGAGTCGGTTCTTGGACGATCCCGATCGGCTATACACGCAGGAGTGGCCTCTCGCTGGAGTGGCCTTTGGTGCGCGGGTGCTGAGCGGTGCCGGAGGGCCACGCCTAGGCACGCAGGCCGCTACTGCCGCGCCGCGTGCAACGATCGACAAGTCCAGCACCACATTTTTGCCCAGGGTCACTCTTGCGTGTAGCCGACCCGAGGCCCGGTCAGGCCCCCCAGAGGCTGAGAAAAGCGGAACATTTCCCGTCGTGATGTTCTCGTGGCGCGAGCGTTTTCTTTGGAGGGAGGAGGGGGGGAGGGGGGGAGGAGGAGGAGGAGGAGGAGGAGGAGGAGGAGGAGGAGGAGGAGGAGGAGGAGGAGGAGAAGGAGGCATAACATGTACCAACTGTGACCCGTGCCACTTTGCCCAGGCTTTACAGAACCCTCTTAACCGCGAATTCGAGTTCGAGCAACGACAGAGTAGATGTAGCACTTAGAACGTGCATGTCGAAACCTGGACCCACGCAGCTCGGCGGACGCGTGGAAGCCTATCAGGCATGGCCTCTGCCAAAACAGTTAAGGAGTGTAAGATAGTGATGGACAAGAAGGGCTGGGGACGTAAAATATAACTGTGTGTAACAGAGGGGAGCTATTAAGAATTAAACGATGATAAAGGGCGATGAGCACTCCTCGCTAAACTCGAACACGGGGCAGTCCGTGGGCAAGTCCGCCTCATCTATGGCCCGCTCCTCCGAGGCGTCGGAAGCGTCGCTGACGACCTCCACCTGCTGCGGGCGCGGCCGCACTAAGTTGAACCCTGTCTAGGAAAGCCCACACGGCATAAACACAAACTTTTGGAGGTCCGCCCGGATTTCTTGGAGCTGCGCTGGACCCCCCTCCCTGGCGCGCGGAACGCGCCAGGGGCGGCGACGGAGGCACCACCAAGGGGGCCCAGCGCAGATCCAAGAAATCCGCGCGGAGCGCCGAAAGTTTCTGTCGATGCCGTTTTTGGGGTTCTTCGAACTAAGCTGCACCCTGTCGGCGCAGATCGACGGAGTTGGACTGACGTTTTCTACACAGGGCCCAGGACGAAAGAACGGGCAAAGATCCGATGGCTCTGTGGGGCGCCACGGTCGCCCCAGAGCGGTGGGCCTTCTGAGGTCCGACAGCTGGAGAACGGGTCGCTTGACTGCTGCAGACAAAACCATAGCAGTAGCAGCAGTAACAACGGTGATGGCAGAAGCAAGACCTGGGCGATCGCAGTATTCGCCCTCAGCAGCAGCAGTAGCAGCAGCAGACTCTAAAGAGGTGGTGACCACCACCACGACTGCCAATACAGCGCGTAATGCTTCAACGAATTACAGATTTACTAGTACTGCTATTGCTTAGCGCTAACGCTAGCGCGGTTGCTATAACTAGCATTCGCATTGTCATTGGCGGTCGCTACACCTGGGAACATATAAGACCACATGTAGTGAGATAACAAAAAGGGGGTGTAGTTTTCGTTCTGCACTGGCGTCGCGTCGGGTTGCACTGGTCCCCTAAATACTATTAAAGGAGATCTGACCGACTGTCCACTTATCTACCTAACGGCGCCACTCGCGGTCCTCTGAACTACCGATAGAAGTACGGTCGCAACCGATGGTCTAAACACTGACGACCGATGTGACTCACGATCGCACTAACCATCGGGCTGCCGTATCTGGCCGGTGATATAAAGAACGATCTGACGACCTACCTACTGAAGGTGAACTACCACGAAAACTGCTCGAAAGAACGATCTATATAACGATGTGTCGGTAGTTATGCCTGCTTCTTTGACGAACAATCAAGCAAGACCAAAACACCACAGACGCAAATGTTAAATACAGCGGCTCGTGCTGCCAACAATTATAACACTTAGTAACCGAATGTCACCATACACACACACACACACACACACACACTCAACGCCAATAATACAACAATGTATCTACAAAAGCAGATTCGGAAACCGTATGGCAGTCTTTATAGCTGTCCATGTATGACGACACCAGAAACGATCCCACCAACCATGTACATAACTGTCTTACGTGGAAGGGCACACGCAATCCAACTTTCGAACAACCTCTAATCACCATATCCGTCAACGAGCCGCAGGCACTGAACAGAGAACCCTCAAGTCACCCCGAACTCTCAACGTTGCACTAAACAAATACTCTTGAGAGAACCACATGGCCAGAATGTTCGGGCGCTCCCAGGCGCTCTCACGGGGAAAATCGCACAACTCTGTCAGAGGCCTTGGGAGCGTGATCGGGGTTCCTCGACTCCAGCATGGCCTAAGACTGTCCCATCTGCAGGGCCCGTCGCCGTGACCTCTTGGGCGCCTCTTGGATCATCGCGCATGCTCTCTGAGCCGTCACAAGAAGCCCAAAACCACTGAACAGCTTCATGTGTTGAAATGGTATCGGAGTTCTCGCCCGGTCGGTCCGAGCACCCAAGGACGGCCCAACAGGCCTCCAATGTGCCCAGGGGCGGTATCCGAGTTCCGAGCTCCCCAGAAGGGCCCAAGATGCCCCCCACATGGCCCACAAGAGAAGCCCACGAGGGGGAGCACAAACATACACGTCACACCCTCCACTCCTAGAACGCGTCCAAGACCGCCAGGAGGCCCCCGAGCAGCCCCAAGAGGCTCCAAGGGGCCCCCGCGCAAGGCGGCCCCGAAGAGGCCCCCTGAATCGGCCCAGTCAGACCTGCGGCCGTCACCTTCCTCGAAACCGGGCATTCTTCCCACGGCAACTACTCCAGCCAAACTGGGATAAGACCGGGCAAGCAATGTACGTGGCGATCCGCAACCAGTCCGCATCGATGCTCGCGCCGCGCCGAGCATGGGGGCAGAGGCGCGCGCGCGCGCCCAACGACGGCGCGGCGGCGGCGCGGCGACGGCAACGAGAGGGCGGCAGGAGGCAGCAAACTAAACTACAAACGACCTCCAATCCGAGGCCCCCAGTGCTGCCGCCGCAGAGCGGGACCATCGCATGCGACACTGCGCGCGGGCCTCTCCATCCGACTGCGATCCACTGGGAAGAGCATGCCGGTGCAGGCTGCTCATTGGAAACATCGAAAGAGAGCGTGCGAGCTCAGGCTGCTGCCTAATTGCTCTCAGCCGCTTTGCCTGGATAGGCGAGCTTCAACTCACGGGCCTTGGCCTGACCCACCAGCGATTGCGGGCCCCAGAACAGCCCGCGGGCGCTCGCGACGCCACGCCGCTGCAGTGCTTCGAGCACCTGTGTTGCGACAGGGCTCCAACTCTTTCGCCGGATGCACTGCGGGCCAGAGATCGCGCGCCCGCCCGCATCGCCAAGGGCCGGGTCGGCCCTCGGAGCAAAGCAATACCTCGAGTCGGCCTCCTAAGAAATCGAAGCCTCAGCACGCGTCGCGGGCACGCAAGCGCGCATGCTCACACGGCCAGACAGCAAGCCCCTGCATCTGCACAGGGCAAACGCAGCAGTGGCCCGCTTGTCCGGCAGGGCCCACACGGCATCAAATTAGACACCCACCTTCGGGCGCGACCTCGGGCTCGAAGCGCGAGCCGATGCCTCGCTCGGCAAGCGGGGCGGCCTTCGAAGCCACCGGGACAAACGACGCCCGGTTGGAGTGGGCAGCGGCAGACAGGCATTTGCCGCGCGGCCCATCGGCCGACAGGGCCTGATAGGAGCCCCCGAGCAAAGCCAGAAGCTGGAAGCAAAGGAGCCTGCCTCCAGCAAGTCGGGCCGAACCCCCGCTGCGCGGCGCCCCTGCAAACGCCGAGATCGGTCGAAACACCGGCCAGCGCTGGCGCCGTGAAGTGGTGGAACGGCGCGCCGGCGGGCAGTCCTGCCCAGCTGGGGCCCCCGCCCGGCAAAACCTACAAAAACAAATGCTAATCGCTGGCCGACACAGGGCGCAGCGCACCTGCCCCAACGAAATGTCGTCGGGGCAGGGCGGGCCAGCCTGCGGGCGATGCGCCGCGCGGCAATTGCGACGCCGCCTGCTGCCCGGGCAGCGGCTTCACTCCCCAATGGCTGAGAACTCGAGCTGGCAATGGCGGAAGCAAACGCACTACCGCCGTCGCTCGACCGCCCGCGCAACTTGCAGTGCTCCATCCACATGGACAAGCTCAACACAAACTCCCTTTACCACCCGAACTCATGGCGAATGCGCGCCACAAATCTACATCAACCCTGGCCTGCGAACGAGAATTCCCTGGGCAACCAGGCGAGCACAACCCAGGTCCGCCAGCGGGCGCCAGAAGGTTCGCGCATGCAAAAGGCCGCCTGGCAGAGACCCGCAAAGAGGGCCAACATTATGGATCAACGCCGGGGCGGCCGTCCTTTGGATCGTCGCGACGCGCCTGCAACCTCGTCCGCGATCCCCCCCTTGGATCGACATGAAAAGCACGTGCACATCTTGCCCTAGGCGGCGAGCTACGTCCTGCACTTCCACCCATAGACGCGCTCTCCAGCCTGAGCCACATTTTCATCGGCATCGTCTCCCACGGCACCCCTGCGAGCCCTTCGCCCGCGACCGCCGCATAGGGGTCTTACGAAAAGAAGCAAATGGCCACAGCAACTCAAACCCAAAAGGGGCACCATCCACCAGAAGCCTCGCAACCAATCGCCAGATGAGTCACGCGCAACAAGCAACCAACTGTGCAAAGCAAATACTTGCACGCACGCCCCATAGCCTGAACAGCACTTCACTGAGCACCCCTTGACAGAGCCCCCACCCCCGCCACTGGCACGCGAATGCGATCCTGGCCCAGCGGACCGCCCGACCGTCTGGTCTGCAACCAGGAGCTCCTCCAAGGAAAATCTCACCGATCACTGGATTCACGTGCGAACTCGGGCAGATGCGACTACGTCCCATATCTGGAGGCAGCGCTCTCGCGGCCACGGTCGCAAGCGGCGCTCTTCTCTCGGGGGCCGAATCGCCAGCCGCGCCCTTGGCGCCCGCGTCGCCAAGAGCGCTCTTGCGGCCAAATCCACGGCGCCGGCGGCGACTCGGGCATCGCGGACATCATTGGCGAGACGGGCCGCCTCTGCGTTTCGCGGGCTGCTGCGAAGGGGGGGCGGAATAACGCCGCCCAATACCCTGCCACCCCCGGCAACCATCCAGAACGAAAAAGACCTCGAGACGGCAGCGGCCCCTCGCGGCCGATGAAAACTCCCGCGGGAAACCGAGGCGAAAGAAAATCACAGCCACGCCCGCACGGGAGCAGCATTTCAAGGCAAGGAAAACTGGACGCGATTTACGCGCGGCGCTCTGCGGGCGCGCCGTCGTTTCGCTCGACGGCCCGCCCAGGCGACGCACCATTTCGCCGAACCAGCTGGCGCCCCCACGCGGCGACATCAAAACTGTCGGCTCATGCATCGCCGCCTCAACGCACCCCCTTGGGAGGGGCGACGAAGGCGACGGCGAGGGCGGCGGCGACAGCGGAGACGACGAGGAGGATGGAGAGGCAGAAGAGGTCACGCCTGCCCCTGCACGCGCGCCCCCCCCAGGCAGCCGCCGCCCTCGCCCTCGCCACGCGCGGGGCGAGGCGGCGCGGGCACGAATCCACCGACGCGGCGCCCTGCCCCGCGCGCGCGCCACCCCGCCGCCCGCGCGACGCCGCCTGCGCGCCTGAGATGACGCGCCCCTGCGCGGCGCGCCGCCGCCCTGCGGCGCCTTCGGAAGCCGCCGGACAGGCAGGAAAAGCACCGGAAGCTGGGGCAACCAAAAGGCACCGACACCGCCACTGCCCGGACCTCTCCCGGGGCGCGCC